TCGGAGACGGTGCTAGGATCGAGGTGACATGCTCGTTCTAGCGCCCGGAGCCAACCCATGATCTTTTTCTAGGACCTAGCATTTTGAGTAGCCAAAGTGTCAACTCTAACACTCAGGTTAGTGACCGAAATGCATAGGCCAGCCATCTCCTGTTCCAAGGTAGTCATCCGGGTACTCTGGCAAGCTTGTGATGGGCCCGCCTCATCAGCACTCTGCTCTGGTGGGGAGTCAGCATGCATAGTTCCCTCATCATCATCATCATCGACATCATTATCATCATCAACTGCCACAGCCCGCTCTTTTCCAACTGTGATTTTGCTAGCCCTGAATGGGGCTTTTAATGGCAATTTCCCATCTACTATGGGATTTTCAGGAACTCGTGAAGCACGACACAGCTTGGTGACCAGGGTAGGGAAGTAGAACCTTTTGAGTATTTCCGGGGAGCGAATGAACATTTCATCCTGAATAAGCTTGGCCACATCAAAATTGTGGTGGGTCATAAAACAATAAATCGTTGTTGCTCTTGGCCTATTAACATCTGTAGTGTTGTTGGAGGGCAGCAAATGGCTGTTGATAATTGTGAGCCAACACTTAGCTTCCCAAGTGAGAGATTGGGAGTTCAGGGTAATTCTCTGCTTTATCCATATTGGCTCCCGGCCAACCACACAGATTGTTTCAAGAATTGGTGCCCACCAAATAGTTGGGCGATGATAAGCAAGGTAATAATCCGTCTCTGCAGTGAATACCGGTAGCCTGTACACTCTGACCTCAAGAGATGCATCCACCCGGGTATTTCGTACCATGACAACCCTATCAACATGCTCTGGGCAATTCGCGTAAAATTTCCTTACTATCAGTACATTGACCTCTTTCAGTTCATTAAAGAAGATGTCCAGTTGACGCCTCCTCAATTCTTCAAAAATACTTGGGCATTCAATTTGCAAGGCATGCCTGTCAATGTGTACTTCAGGTAACAACTTCTTGGAGGCCTTTGCATTAAACCTATCTTGAGCTGCTTTGGAAACAAACCGAGTGCGGTCAAACTGGTCGGCACTAGCCTAATCTCTAGCTCTGGATGAACCTCCTGGTCCACTAGCGGAGGAACCTGTGGCACGTCTCTTCCTTGACTGATGCATTGTTCCTAACAAAATAGAGGCTACTATTAGTGAGGGTTTGAGTTGTGTGAACCCTGGGTGGTTACTCAGACTTCACCATCACTATGGTCACATTAGCCATTACAGCTCCATTGGAGCAATTTCACAAGAACCTTGTGAGCATGGACTATAATTTAACATACCTATCCCATGGAAGCATAAACTCTCCCCCAAATCAACTATTCTCACTTCACACTCCACCCCACCACAAATAACTTCACACAACAAAACCAAGCTCTTCTCTACAATATTTTTTTACATTACCCACTAAAAAGAAGAAAAGAAAACCAAAAATCCNGTAGAAGAGAAAAGAAAAGAAAATAAAAAATATTAAGTACAACTTACCTGGGCGATAGACCGATCGCACCGCGGTCCCACCGCGTCCGCGGTGAAGGAGGGGAGGCAAAATAGAATGTTTGCATTTCGCCGCGGTCGTGCCGCGATCCCACAACGATTGCGGTGAATAGAGCAACCCAAAACAGAATGCTCGTCATTTACCGTGGTCGCGGTCACGGGCTTAAAAAAACATTTTTTTATTTTATAAGAGTATTAGTTTCCTACACATCTGGTACAACATCAAACAAAAGAAAAAAAAACATAGGTTGTCTCCCACGCAGCGCCGGATTTAACGTCGCGGCACGACGCATGCTCATGTCATCACTACTCATTTGTGTATTGGGGCTCCTCCAACGTTATCACCACGTTGTCCCCTTTTTCTTCAGTCATTCCAAGGTAATGTTTCAACCTCTTCCCATTCACTGTGAATTTGTTCGTCCCATCTTCAGATTCGATCTTCACAGCTCCACTTGGAAACATTTGCACCACTCTGAACGGTCCTGAGCATCGGAACTTCAACTTACCCGAAAACAACCTCAATCTTGAGTTATATAGTAACACTAATTCTCCGAGGTTGAAGTTCCGATTCAAGATGTGCTTATCATGCATCAGTTTCATCCTTTCTTTATAAAGTTTAGCACTCTCGAATGCCTGGAACCGGAATTCTTCAAGCTCATGCAACCCATTAACTCTATTGGTGACTGTTGCCTCCATGTTTAAGTTCAGCTGCCGCAATGCCCACAGCGCTTTGTGTTCGAGCTCAACCGGAAGGTGGCATGCCTTTCCAAATACCAACTTGTATGGTGACATACTAGTTAGAGTTCTAAAGGTTGTGCGGTATACCCATAATGCATCATCCAGCTTCCATGCCCAGTCAGTTCTTATTGCATTCACTATTTTTGAGAGGACATTTTTAATTTCTCTATTTGACACTTCCACCTGCCCGCTTGTTTGTGGGTGTTATGGTGAGGCTACCTTGTGGCGAAATCCAAACTTCTCCAACAGGCGTGCAAACGCTCTATTACAAAAATTAGAGCCACCATCACTGGTTATAGCTCGGGGGTGCCAAAACGTGTGAAGATGTTTTTCTTTAGGAAACTGGTCACCCCTTTCGCATCATTGGTTGGGGAACAACTGCTTCGACCCACTTGGAGACATAGTCAACAGCAACCAATATATACTTATTACCGTATGAGCTGACAGACGGCCCCATGAAGTCGATCCCCCACATGTCAAACACTTCCAACTCTTGGATTGTGGTCATTGGCATCTCATGACGACGGGATATGTTGCCCGTCCTTTGACATTCATCAAAGCTTTTGACCCAAGCATGGGCATCCTTGAACAATGTAGGCCAATACAAGCTTGATTTCAGCACCTTTGCTGCTGTCCGAATTCCTCCAAAATGTCCACCATATGGCGAAACAAGACAAGCCTGCAAAATAGAGGGTTGATCTTGCTCGGGAATACACCGCCGAATCATGTTATCAACATATATTTTGAACAATAAAAGTTCATCCCAATAATACTCCCGACAATCACGGAAAAAAAATTCTTTTGAATTGAGGAGAGATCATGAGGTACAATACCACATGCTAAGTAATTAGCAATATCAGCATACCATGGTACCTCCTCTATTGTCAAAGAAAGTAATTGCTCATCCGAGAATGTCTCAAGGATATCTTTAACCTCCGTTCTCTTTTCTGCCCGTTCCAACCTTGAGAGGTGGTTTGCTACTTGGTTGTCTGTCCCTTTTTGGTCACGAATCTCCAGGTCAAATTCTTGTAGCAACAGAACCCAGCGAATCAAACAAGTCTTTGACTCCTTTTTTGTCATCAAGCATCTAATGGCTGCATGGTCAGTATAAACAATAACTTTCGAGCCAATCAGGTATGACCTGAATTTGTCGAAGGCAAACACTACAGTGAGCATTTCCTTTTCAGTGACTGTGTAGTTCAGTTGTGCACCACTAAGTGTCCTGCTTGCATAGTAAATGGGGTGCATAATTTTCTCCTTGTGCTGCCCCAAAACCGCTCCTATAGCGTAATCACTGGTGTCGCATATCAACTCGAATGGTTGCTCCCAGTTGGGTGCAACAATGATGGGTGCATTCACCAATCTCCTCTTCAGCTCCTCAAATGCTAATCTGCAATCATCAGAAAACAAAAAGTGTTGGTCTTTTTCAAGCAGCTTATATAAGGGGTTAGCAATTTTTGAAAAATTCTTGATGAACCGCCTGTAGAATCCGGCATGCCCAAGGAAGCTTCTCACTGCTTTCACTGAAGTGGGTGCTGGAAGTTTCTCAATCACATCAAATTTTGCATGGTCTAATTCAATCCCTTTTTTGGATACTCTATGCCCCAACACTATGCCTTTGTGCACCATAAAATGGCACTTTTCCCAGTTCAGCACCAAATTTTTCTCCATACATCGTTTGAGCACTCTTTTAAGGTTGTGAAGACAATCTTCGAATGAATCCCCTACCACTGAGAAATCATCCATAAACACCTCCATAATGTCTTCGACCATGTCGGTGAAGATGCCTAGCATACACCACTGGAATGTGGTCGGTGCGTTGCAAAGTCCAAAGGGCATCCTCCGGAAGGCAAATATGCCATACGGACATGTGAAGGACGTTTTCTCTCTATCTTCTGGGGCTATTGAGATATGATTGTACCCTGAGTATCCGTCCAAGAAACAAAAATAGGATCGCCCAACTAACTTGTCCAACATCTGGTCAATGAAGGGCAAGGGGAAATGGTCCTTTCGGGTGGCTGTATTTAATTTCCTGTAATCTATGCAAATCTGCCACTATGTGACTGTACGAGTTATGATCAACTCGTTCTTCTCATTTTGTACAACTGTCATTCTACCCTTTTTCGGTACACACTGGACGGGGCTTACCTAATTGCTATTAGATATGGGAAAGATGATGCCCGCGTCCAGCCACTTGATTACCTCCTTTTTCACTACCTCTTTTATATTCGGGTTCAACCTTCGTTGATGTTCCCTGGAAGGTTTGTGCCCTTCTTCCAGACGAATCTTGTGCATGCAGAAGGCGGGGATAATACCCTTTATGTCTGTCATGGTCCAGCCAATGGCAGTTTTGCATTCTTGCAACACCTGCAGTAATTGTTCTACCTGCACAGCTAGCAAACCAAATGATACAATAACAGACAAAGTAGAACTGGGACCCAAGAAAGCATATCTGAGGTGGGCTGGAAGCGGTTTCAGATCCAGTTGGGGTGGTTCCTCTATTGATGGTTTTGCAGGTGGTGTAGCTCTCTTTTCTAACTCAAGGGACTCGAACTGAGGTTCCCTCTTCCAGAATCCTTGGCCTTCGAGTGCCATAACCCACTCTGCAAACCCTTCACCATCCATCTCCTCTAAATTTGTTAAGCAAGCTCCTAATGGATCTTTAGCATTCAGCCTTTCATCATCTTCATGCAGGATCACATCCACAGCTTCCACTAGTGAGCAATTTGCATATTCATTGGGTCTCCTCATGGATTATTGAACGTTGAATATAACTTCTTCATCGTTCGACCTCATTTTTAATTCCCTAGATTCACAATCAATCAATGCTCTCCCAGTGGCTAAAAATGGCCTTCCCAGAATGATGGGTATCTCCTCATCTACATGGAAATCCAGAATAACAAAGTCTACAGGGAATACAAACTTTCCCACTTGTACCAGCACATCATCAAGAATCCCCGTCGGTCTTTTAACCATGCGGTCAGCCAGTTGCAACAACATCGAAGTCGGTCTAGCTCTACCAATCCCTAGTTTTGTATATATTGCCAAAGGCATCAAGTTTATGTTGGCTCCTAAGTCACACAATGCTTTTGCAAAAGCATAGCTCCCAATAGTACACGGAATAATGAAGCTACCTGGATCAGACATCTTTTGAGCCATGGGTCTTGTCATTACCGCGCTGCATGTCTGTGTCAAAGTTACTGTGGACAAGTCCTGAAAGTCAAATTTCTGTGACATCAGGTCCTTCATCATCTTTGCATAGCCTGGCATCTCCCTCAAAGCATCCATTAGAGGAATATTCAATTGAATCTGACAGAGCATCTCCATGAATTTCCTGTATTGATCTTCTTTCTTTTATTTTGCCAGTCTCTGAGGGAAAGGTGCAGGCATCACTCTTTGTTCCCTGCTTGCTGGCTGTTCTTTATTGGAATTTTGTGGCACAAGAGGTACCACCTGTTCTGCAACTTGTTCACTTTCTTTAGCCTTACCTTTATCAACCTGAGCCTGTTCAACCACCACTTTAGTGAGTTCTGCTGATTCATCTATCTCTAATGGAACTGGAGTGGCTGGTGTAGTCTCTCTTCTAGGTTGAACAACTTCTTGCTCCCTATCTAAATTTCTCCCATTCCGGAGACTTACTGCCATCAGCTGATTCGGGTTTTTCTCCTTGGGTTAATGTTCGTATCGGCTGGCAATGTTCCCTGGGGGCAGTTATTTAAGGCCATGGACAACTTCCCCAATTGAGTTTCAATATTCTTTATTACTGAGTCATGCACTGCCAACTTTTCCTGCATCTTACCATTTGTTCCAATGAGTTGTTGCAACATACTCCTGATTTCTACCATGTTGCCATCCTGTTGCTGAAGAGGTGGCTGATATGCCAACTGTTGCTGGTGCTGCTGTTGATAGCCCTGTTGTCTCTGATATGGCACCACTTGGCCTTGGGGCTGCATATCTCCAGGTTGTGGCATGTTCGGTCTGTACTGCTGATTGGGTGTTGGTCTCCATTGTTGTCCTCCTTGTCTCTGACCCCCAAAATTATTGACATAATTCATATCTTCTCTCAACCCTTGGTTGTCAGCTTCACCACTCCATGAACACACATAAGACTGATTAATGCACGGTGTACACAGTCCTCCATTTGTTGTGTCAACGATATGCACTTGCTTTGTACTCATCTTATCAATCTTCTTCGTCAGTATACTCATCTGAGTCATGAGTGTGGCTATGTTATCTGCATGTGAATTATTTGGGTCAAAGGAACTGAATGCACTATTGGCGTCAGGGTTGTACCTCTCGTCATCCACCCCGAATTCTAGGACATCTTGTCAAGAAGGATTTTACACTCTGTGAATGTCTTGCTAAAAAATGCACCCCCAGATGAAGCATCTACATTGGCTTTTAAATTATCTGATAACCCCATTTAGAATCTCTGGCCGAGCATCTAGTATGGAATACCATGGTGGGGGCACTTCACTAGAATCCCTTTGAATCTTTCCCAAGTTTCCTGCAAGGTCTTAGTATGTTGCTGCTTGTACTGCAATATCTCATCATTCTGTCTTGCAGTCTTGTTGGGCGGGTAAAACTTGTTCAGGAACTTCTTGACTAATTCCTCCGAAGTGGCAATGTAATTTATTGGTAGCGAATTCATCCTAGTCTGAGTTTTCCCAGTCACAGAGAATGGGAACAGTAATAGCTTGATAGCTTCTGGGGTTATATTTGGCTGTCTTTGGGTCACACAAATTGATAGAAAAATTTTCAGGTGTTGTTGAGGGTCTTCAATGTGTGAACCGGAGAACAATCCCTTATTCTGTAGGAGGTGCAGCATGTTGTTGGTGATCTGGAATGTCTCCGCTTATATTTGGGGCACAGCAATGGCGGTGGCCAGGTTGTCAGTTGTAGGCTATGCCCAATCATAAAGTGCAGCTTCTGGCACAAGAGGTGCCACCACCACTTCATTTGGCACAAGAGGTACCCGATCATTTGCATCGATGTTTTCCCTGTTGTCCATTTCAATTGTGAGTTGGTGTGTTTGTAGTGATTGATTGTTCTTCTTGTTAGTACAGTTTAATGCCCTGAATGTTTTCTCGGGGTCTGAGAGTTCTTCAAGTAGTTCACCAGTCCTCGAAGAATTTCTAGGCATACACCTGAATCACACAAGAGTTCAAACGTGAGAATTTCAATGAAAAATTATTTAACACCGTAGAAAATTGATCTAAACTAATAATTCTAGCACTACTTCTAATTTGTAATAAATAACACCGTTAACTCCACGACAACGACGCCAAAATTTGATCACTCCCAACTATGCCTTATAACAGACAAAGCGGCTGTTGCAAATATAATCCGATTTTCAAGTCCGGATTCGAATCCTCAGGGAACTAACCTATCTATTACAACTCTTTGTGATGCTATTACAAGCTCGAACAATTTTCGGATGCAAGATTTTTATCAATAAATATTGGATTTTGTTTAACTAAAGCAAAATGATATTAAAACTAACAATATTCTAAATTAAAGATAATTCAATGGTAAAAAGATCTAAGGTATTGATTTTCCCAATTGCTAGTTTAAGTCTTAACTCTTTTGCTATAATATCGCCGTAATACTCTATGAGGATTATGAGCTATGGGTTACCGTAATTATCTCTTGATCAACTACGATAATTTACTAGAGCATTCTCTCGAACTACTCTAGCTGATAATTTATGCAACTCTAAATTATCCCACCAAAGTTCGTTATCTCCAACCCTACTTTTAAATTCAAATAATGAATCTCTTCAATTACCCAAAAGTGGTGGTGTTCAACAACAATCTAACCTAGTATTCTTTCTCAAGCAATACAAGGCAATTAGACATGATTAATCAAGGGCACATTCAATCACCATACAAAATGTAGTTGAACAATCATATAATAAATACGGCTCGATTATAACACAATTGAGTCAAAACTTCGTCTAACAGTTGGTTCCATCAACCCTAGATTAAATGTTTAGCTACTCATAGCAAAGCAAGATAAAACCATAAAATAATTCAAGATCTCAAAATAATGATAAAAAGAAGAAGAATGAAAAACTCTAATGATGTCTTGATCTTCTCACACTTGTTTTTGCCTCCAATTGAGTCTAAAAACAAGCTTGACCTTCACTTGGGCGAGTTTGTTAAGTTTATATAGGGTTAGGATAAGTTTTTCACGATTTACACTTTGGCCCTTAAACTTCTTGGCTCCCTCCAGATCGACCGCGGTCGCGGCACGACCGTGGTCATTTCAAACCATTCTGTTTTTCGTCTTAGTTCACCGCGTTCCAGCCGCGGTCGCGGTGGGCTGTTGAGCAGTTTTTCTTCACCTTTTCTTGCTCGTTTTCATCCGTGCTCTTCTCGATTGGCCTTGTATCTACATATTTGACTTCAAAACACTCTACATCCTCCTCCTAACTTAGAGTAGTTCCTGCAAAGCATAAAAACCTCAATTAGAGCATTTTGTTATTATTTAGCACTTAAAATATCAATAAAGTATCGTTAACTTAGAGCATAAATATCATCTACATCGTATAATATAGAAGATTAAATGCTTTTATATTCACTTTATTATATGCAATTATTCTGTATTTCTATGGCTGTCCAACGGGACGGGACGGGACGACATTTAAGCGGGACGGGACAAAACGGGATGGGACAAATGGGACGAAGCAGTCGTCCCATCCCGTCCCGCTAACAAATGGGACGGGGCGGGACGGAACGGGACGGGTTCGTAGGTCTTAAGTGTAGTTTTTTTTTTAAAAACATCTAATTTTTTGAAAATGACTAAGTTTTTAAAGTTTGCAACGACTAGTTTTTTGACTTATTTAACAAACTTAAATGTTAAAACGAAAATTAGAAAACTAAGTAAAGAATTATAAAATATTAAAACAAAAGACTTGTAATGAAATATTATAGTAATTATAAATTTATAATAGAGTTATAATGTATTTAATATAATTTCAAAGTATTAAGTAATTAAGACAATTCATAAAAAAAAATCAACGCTTAGAGCCTTTTATTTTATTAATGGAACTTTCAAATCTCAAAACCTGTTATATCATCCATATCTTCCCATAAAACTTCTGCCCTAGACTTAGAAATAGAAGGAGCAGTTTCACAACCTGTTGTTTTCATAGATTTATATTTATCAAACATTGATTTAGCATAAGAATATATGCTAGCTTGGCAGTCTTCAATAGATGGTTGTTCATTTTCTTGAATTGCTAAATTCTCATAAATTTTACGAACAGGTCTCTTTGCACCTCTTAGTTTCAAAGATAGGTTAAGTAGAGTAGAAATTAAATAAACTTCGGGAATAGGAAAAAAAAAATTAAATTTTGAAATCATTTCATTAATGGCCGGTGCATAAGTTGAATTTGTTTTATACTTGCCAAATACAACAGAAATTCGACAAATATACTATAAAAACTCGCGGGACGGGACGGGACGAGACAAACGGAGACGAAATGGTCGTCCCATCCCATCCCGTGTCCCGTTTAACATTGGCCCATCCCGTTGAAAATGAAGTAAGACGGGACGGAATGAGACGCGGGACGAGGCGGGACGGCCCGGCCCGTTGGACAGCCATATGTATTTCATCGAAGTGCAAGGGGATAATCAATTGAAATTTATTTTTTAAATAATAAATTAATTAGCCATTTAGCCTATCAACAAAAACTGTCTAGTGTTGTTGGGACAGTCCTTAACATGGTTGATATACATTGCATCTGTAATGGGGCACTGTTCGCTACCTTTTTAATACGTTTTTATTTATTTTCTTATATTTTTCCTCTTTTTTTGCCTGTATAAACGGAAGTGCGTCTTGTAGTTTTTGTGTTGGATCTGTTGATATAGGAACGAAAATGACCAGGTGCATGTATTATATAATATAGTAGAAGTAGATGCACAAGGACAATTTCACTGCTATTCCCTACATGTTAGTTGCCAGAAAATGATGCTTCACGTTTCAGATTTGTGCCTCCCAAAATCTTCTGACCATCTCTTGTAGCACGACAGAATTAGAATTTAAAGTTTATCGATTTTAAATTTGCAGGGCCGGGCAGAGGGTGAAGCAACTAAAACGGGGGTTTTAGGTCCCAAAATTTTAGGGGTCTCAATTTTTTTTTAATTCGTATCCAATGTTCGATATTTAATTTGGGCCGTTGAGTAATTCGAATTCGTACTATGTAAGGTCCATTAAAGTGAAAATCGTTCCTTAGAAAGAATTTTTTTCATTCCCAAGATTCGAACCGAATACCTCAGGTTAAGAAAGCAAAAATTCTATCCATCCCACTACAACTAATCTTGTGAGGCCCCAAATTCTTTTAGAAAATATTAAGTATTTCAAAGTAAAAAAATAAAATATATATAAAGAAAAGATTACATTTATCATTAGAAAATTAGTAATACACTTTTAAAGTTCATTTTTATTTGTTTTTTGCTTTTCTCAGGTTTTCATCATTGCAATAAGTATATTGAAACATCAAAAAATTATTCTGATACAAAGTTATCAACTTCTTGAATTGGATTTTATTACATAAGATCAATAATGTTACATTAGAGATTAAAAGGTTTATGCCAAAAATTATTAAAATTTTTATTCTGAAAAAGCTAGAAAAAACTTCAAATAAAATTATGTAGAATTTTTTTATTAAAAAAAATAAGGTCTCTCATTAAAGTTTGGCTTTAGGCCATCAAACTTATTGAGTCGCCCCTGTAAATTTGCTATCGAACTCACATAGTTCATTATAACTCTTGTCGTGTTTTGCAAATTTTGAATTCGCTAAGACTATATGATACTTTTCTAATAATCTTCGATTTTAACTGTGTTTGGTATAATAAAAAATGTTTCTAAAAGAAATTCTGGATTAAATCATTTTGTTTCTTGAATCGTTGGAAATGTGTTGTGATACTTTTTGGAAAATATTTTCCTTGACAAAATAATTTTTTAATATTCGATTAACATGAATCGTTGAAAACTTTTTAGTTTTTACTATGGAAATTATATATCACCAAAGAAGGAACATGACTTCAGTCACTTTGTAGATCTTTACGAATTAATCAAAACTTATTCGTTATCACTTGTTAATTGTTATAACCAACTTAGCACATATAGAAAAAAAAATACTACTTGTCACAACCAATACTTAAATATTTTTATTAACATTTAATTAAGGAAATTACGAAAACACTATCGCCCACCTTGTTGAATTGTTATATATCAACTACTTTTAAATTAACTCAAGCGTCACTTTACTCGTTGATTAAGTTTCAGGTAATTATCTTTTTGAAGTATGGTCCTTTTCTTGCACTAAATTAAATTATGCATAATAAAAATCTCCCCTACTTTGACTTTTGAAAAATGAGATTCACGACAATTATTAAGAGTGACAACTTTTAGGATTCTAAGTCAAATGATTTTCTATTTCAGCTTTGATTTGCAGTATCTTCTTGATTGTTTGGATTAATATTTAAACAAGCATAGTCAACTACAATTATTGTTAATGAAAATATTAAGCAAACCAAATGACTTCAAGAGAGAAAAAGACTAGGAATTACTCAAAGCTGTCAAATTAAGGTACTATCTTGATTATCTTATCTATATGCTATTTTTGCTATTTAAAGTTTCAAATCTTTAAAGGAAAAGAATTCAGTGAACAGTAGAGTCAATCACAAGAATATTGAATGTGATGGAGACCAGCCGACCATGTTTTTCTTCTTAAGTTAAAAACAAAGTGGTGATAATAATTGCCATGTCTACTCTCTTCACATGATCTTTGTCTTGTTGGTCCAATTTTCTTTACTTTAATGAGTTAATCTTCCTTCTCTTTTATTAATTTATTTATTTTTCTTGGATGTGGTTGGAGGGTGAGGGAAGGGTGGAGGTTTTAATTTATTTTTTTTAATTACTATTCTCTCCGTTCCAATTTATGTGAAGCTGTTTGACCGATCACGGAATTTAAGAAAAAAATGAAAATTTTTGGAATTTGTGGTCTTAAATAAATCAAAAAGGGGTTCAGAGTATTTGTGTGGTTATAAAAGCTTTTCATTAAGGGTAGAATTGTAAGTTTAAGCTAAATTGTTTCCAAATTTAGAAAAGGGTCATTCTTTTTAGAACGGATCAAAAAGAAAATAGGTTCACATAAACTGGAACAGATGGAATATCATTTACGTATTATCTTTTGTTTGGCGGGTGGAGGTGAAGGTATGTACTCAAAATTCTACTCAATAAAGGCGAATTTATACAGATATTTGATGAATTCAACTTTTTATGTTTTTACTGATAAACTCATTTTACTTTTGAGATTAGAAATTTAGAATTTAATAATTATTGAAATTTTTGTAATTTTTCATAAATACATCGGTTATCAATAAGACATGAGAGATTGACAAAAGCAAACCATTATAATTGAAAGCTATATTTTTTCAAACAAAGACTCTCCTTTTTAGGAAGACGATTTCCGGCCATTCTTCGAATACTCCAACAACTAAAAAATGTGTTGATATTGCATAGCAAATCAAACTGTTAAACCAGCACTTTTCCTTGTAACAGCCTTCAAAAAGAGGATAATGCCAAAAAAACATGGGGTGCGTCTTTCACTAAAAAGCTAATGCTCATAGAAGAAAACACCTCTTTACATATCTTTGTCAACATTAACAACCATGCAACGAGACTTAAAAGGGCAAACCTCTCAAACAATCTTGAGAACAGTCCTAAACAAGTAAGACTTTCACCAGCTTATAAATTCAACAGTTTACAGGGCAGAATGTGTGCGGGTCCAGAAAAGGGCCGGACCACAAGAGTCTTGTGCGCAGTCTTACCTTGTATTTTTGCAGTCTTACCCTGTATTTTTGCAAGAGGCATTTGCACGGCTATGAATTCAACAGTTTATACTGATAAAACTGGCCATGATGAAACAGTAACTTATTTATAAGATATCTACATGTACTACAAGAAGCATGGCAAATATTTGAGGGTGTTTGTTAAACCATGCCTAGTTCTTCAACCTCTACAAAACATGGTAAAACTTGAAACACCGTTACTAAGAGAGCTATAGGCGATTAAAAATGCACCCCAACAAGCAGACAAATTACATGGGATCTTCCCTCTTGGGAAAAAGCTATGTCTATGACGCCAAAGCTGCACTACTTGATATACATGTCAACAATCTCCTGGTTAGTACCAAGTTGGAAGATTTTGCTTTGGTGTGGTATCGTATCCAATGCCAGGTAAATTGCCAGTGTAGTTGGCGGACTGCAAGTTGAAAGGAGACCCGAACATGAAATGAAAATTGTCATTAGGGCCTGCATTGAAAGGTGAAGCCTGTGGCAGCATAGAATGACTTGTAGAAATATTAGCATCTTTGAAGATATTTCCCTCCATTATTCCTTGGCTGTGTAGGTAATTATCCTGGTTGACACGAGGTTGTTGATGAGGCTGCTCCTTGGTCAGTGCAACATTCCCCGTATTTTGGCTTTTGTTTCCCTGTATATTGCTATCATAGAATGACATAAGCTCAGTAATCATCCTTTGTCCATCCTCAGGAACTCCGACACCAGATAGATCAAAGGTAGGTGGTCCTTGATTAACAGGCAGAGATGCCGACTTTGGTTGCACATATTGTTGAGGGAAGACAACTGGCTTGACTTCGTTAAAGTTAAAGTTTGAAACTCCAAACTGGGAAGAATTTCTGAAAGGGCAAGCAAACTGATGATTGTCTCTGGCAGATTTGCCCTGAAAACCATTTCGAAGTTCACTGTGAGGACATTGTTGAAACTCGCACGTATAGATCTTTTGATCCATCATTACAGTCAGTTCATTGGCTTGCTTCCTCTTCCGAGTGAAATCTAAGTTGGTGATGAATTCATCCTTGTTTGGATGAGATTGTTGCTGCAGAGGCAGCGTCTCCTTGAATCTCTCGACACCAATATTCAACAAGCTGAGATGGTTTGGTTTTTGCTCATGAACATCAAAGTTAGGCTCATCTTGAGCACCTTCAACGTCATATTCACTGCTGTCATCCAAAATGAATGTTCCACTAGCACCAGCTGAGGACAAGGCTGGACAGCGATCAGGATAGAGTTCTCGAGCCAAAGCTTCCTCCTGACTGATGATGGCAAGCCAAGTTGCACTTTCTTTGGCTGTCATCTTATCCTGCAAGCACTTTGACTGCCGTACCAGCTTGCGAATTTTAGCAATATCGGGGAACATGTGCTTGATTACTGCTGTGAGGACACCAACTTTCCACGCCTTCTTAAGATCATGAGGCTTCTTATAGGGCGGAGGACCTTGTTCCTTCTGCAAACCCAACTGAGGCCACCAATCCTCCTGACCAGTGGGCCACCACGGGGGTGAAACACCTTTCTCCAACGGAAATCTTCTCTGAGGAGGATCGCAGTGCTGCATCAGAGCTGACAATAACGAACCGAGGGTGGTATCTTGCAGCTCCTGCAAGGTGTGAGGGGTAGGACCCACTGGATTAGATCCCTCGTTCATCCCTGGGATGGCATGATCAGCTTGGTATTTGGCTATGGCTGCAGGGCCATTTCGATCGAACCTCACTTTATCCTTCCACCACTCCCTAAGATTATCAGATGCCCCACCAACCGGCTTGCCTTTTTCTGGAATGATCCCATAAACAAAGCCCTGAGCTTTACATACTTCCATCATTTTCAACATGTACTTCAAGATCCCGTCCTGTGCCCTCGACATCTTCTTCCTCCTCGCCTGCTCCTGCGACTGACGATGTTTTGCAGGATCGACACCTTCCTTACTCTTAGTCATTTCCTTCAGCCTTTTCAGCTTCATCTTGTCCCTCCACATTCTCCTCTCCAGCTCATCCATATCAATCTCCTCATCACTATAATCATCATCCACCACCAGCTCCGGCTCTGGCTCAGTGTGTGGAGCAGCCACTTCCACTTCCTTTAGCGGAGCAGGAAAGAAATCAAGATCGCCACAGAACCCCATTTCCTCAAACATCATCATCTTGACAGGAAGAACAATCCCTCAGAAAAGTGAAGCCACTTGCAACTTCCACAAAATCCGAACAAGATTAACCAGATAATACCCAAAATCCTCAATTATCCTATGCTTTTCCGATTTTCAGCGCAGAATCTTTTGAAATCAATCAAATTACATGATCTTCCCTCCTGCAAATACATTAACAAGGAACATAAGAATATCTCACTAAACATTTCCAAAACTGAAATCAAACAGAAACAAAAGTTGATTGATCCCCATATTTAGATTACACAAAAAAGAAGCATAGATTTGTTCATATGAGAGAAAGCCAAGATTATCTCCAGAAAATATAAGCACACTGCACTCCCATTTTCTCGGAAACTCAACAGAAAAAACAGTACAAACTATCTCCCGCGAATATCCAAGAATATTGACATACTTCCCCAGATCTAAAATATCAAATATACATGTAATCAAACAAAAAGCTAGAAAAAAAAAAGAAGAGGGTGTTGGTAATAAAAATGCTGTAACGTACCTAACTATGTAGTAATAGAAGACTGATGAGACCATAGGACTAACTTTCCTTTATTAGATTTATCAGTTGATTATAGAACAAACTATTTTCAACAAATTCAGAACAGAAAAACACAGACAAATCCAATCGTGAAACAAAAGCTCAAATCTTTACATCAGTACTCAGGGCCACATAAAAAATACATCCATAATTTCAAAGATTAATTTATCTGTGGATGTCAAAAGCTGAAGTCAAACACAATTTGAGAAAAAAAAAAAAACCCAAATGAAACTAACATCAAAACCCAGTAAAGATCTTAACTTGACTACACAAGGTATTAAAGCAAATATTTTCAGGAAATAGTTCTATAAAGGAAAAAAAAAAGAAGAATTTTATTTTCTTACAAGAGTTTGTTCAACTTTTCTTCTGCTAAGAGAATAATTGACCCTTTCGACTGTAGATGGAAGAAAGAGGGGAAGATGGGGAAGTTATAGTAGTAGTAATGTACTCCGTCCGTTCCAATTTATGTGAACCTATTTGACTGGGCACAGAGTTTAAGAAAAAAATAAATTTTTTTGTAATTTGTGATCCTAAACAAGTTCAAATGGGGCCAGAGTATTTGTGTGGTTATAAAAGCTTCTCATCAAGGGTAGAATTGTAAGTTTAAACTAAATTGTTATCAAATTTAGAAAGAGTTCATTCTTTTTGAAACGGACAAAAAAGTAAATAGGTTCACATAAACTGGAACAGAGGAAGTACAATTTATGAGAGCTGCTATTCGACCAAACTTGGCGTGACCCAACAATGACCACACTGGTGAAATAACAGTAAAGCCCTTCATTTCACATTTGGCTTAATGACCATTTTCCCTACAAAATATTTCCCTCCAAAATTAGTCAATAAATATTAATTATCCCAAAACATTAATCCCATAAATCATTATTCTCTCATGGAAAGATCAACCAACTTCGTATGTATACCTATACTATTACGTAATTATTTTATGTTTTAAAAAAAATTCATACGGATGGGAATATCAAAAACCTTCGTATACGTATACCTATACTATTACGTATTTTTTTAAATACAATTTATACGATGGGAAGATCAAAAGTCTAGTATCTATACATAATATTATTTTTTATACGATATACAAACTTATAATAGCCCGTTGATGAGGTGGTTGTCAAATAGCTCATTGATGAGGTAGATGTCAAACAGTCGTTTATATTAAGGTCATTCGTATCGGCATATAGCTACCATATAAGTCCATTGACTAATATGGTTGTAGTCATATAACCTATGCTAATTATATCGTTGTGATTTATAGTAATATCGGACGCTTGTATAATAGTCGGTTATATTAATTTCATTCATTAAGGTCATTCGTATCGGTCTATAGCAACCATATCAGTCCATTAACTAATATGGTTGTAGTCATATAACCTATGCTAATTATATCGCTGTGATTCTTAGTAATATCGACCGTTTATATAATAGTCGTTTATATAATTTAATTTATTATGGTCATACGTATCGGCCTATAGCAACCATATAAGTCCATTCACTAATATGGTTGTAGTCATATAACCTATGATAATTATATCGTTGTGATTCTTAGTAATATGGACCGTTTATATAATAGTCGTTTATATTAATTTCATACATATCGGCCTATAGCAACCATATAAGTCCATTCACTAATATGGATGTAGTCATATAACTTATGCTAATTATATCGTTCTGATTCTTAGTAATATCGATCGTTTATATAATAGTCGTTATATTGATTTCATACATATTGGCCTATACCAACCATATAAGTCCCTTGACTAATATGGTTGTAGTCTATAAACCTATGGTAATTATATCGTTGTGATTCTTAGTAATATCGACCGTTTATATAATAGCCATTTATATAATTTAATTCATTATAGTCATACGTATCGGGCCTATAGCAACCATATAAGTCCATTGACTAATATGGTTGAAGTCATATAACCTATGGTAATTATATCGTTGTGATTCTTAGTAATATCGATCGTTTATATAATAGACGTTTATATTAATTTCATACATATCGGTCTATAGCAACCATATAAGTCTATTCACTAATATGGTTGTAGTCATATAACCTATGCTAATTATATCGTTGTGATTCTTAGTAATATCGATCGTTTATATAATAGACGTTTATATTAATTTCATACATATCGGTCTATAGCAACCATATAAGTCTATTCACTAATATGGTTGTAGTCATATAACCTATGCTAATTATATCGTTGTGATTCTTAGTAATATTGATCGTTTATATAATAGTCGTTTATATTAATTTCATATATATCGGCCTATAGCAATATAAATCCATTCATTAATATGGTTGTACTCATATAACTTATGCTAATTATATCGTTGTGATTTGTCACGACTCAGATTTTCCCACCCTCGGGGGTCGTGATGGCGCCTACTAATGTAAGCTAGGCAAGCCAAACCTTTAACTACTTACCTTATTATCCAATTATTTCTGGTTAACAATTATTAGGCGATAACGTGATAACAGCGGAAATTCAAATTTAAGCAGAAGGCAACAATAAAATATATGAAAACTATATCTATTACAAATACTTAAGCCTTAACCACCCAAAACCTGGTGTCACAATGTCATAAACTGTCTAAGATTGCTACATACAAAGTCTGAAGAAATAACAGTACACTATTTCTGAATAAAGGAAAATGAAACAGGAAATAAGGATAGAGGGAGACGCCAGGGCCTGTGGACGCCTGCAGATCTACCTTGGATCTCCGCGTGGACTGAAGGTAGCCTCTATACTACGGTCCAAAAGCTGCTCCAGGATCTGCACATAGTGCAGAGTGTAGTATCAGCATAACCAACCTCATGTGCTGGTAAGTGTCTAGCCTAACCTCGGCGAAGAAGTGACAAGGGTAGGACCAGACTACCAAATAAACATGTGCAGTTCAAATATATAGAGCGAAAAAGAAGTACAGAAATAACCAGAAAATAGGAGGGGGAGCATGTTGTGGGGGAGATAACAGTTCCGAATAGAAAGACATCAAATAAACGAAAGAAACAACATAACTCAGATATCAACAAAGAACCAGAAATCAATAAATGCACGGCATCACCCTTCGTGCTTTTACTCTCGTCCTCACCAAAGCAATCATATAATAAAAATGTGCACGACATCATCCTTCGTGTTTTTACTCTCTTTCCTCACCATATAATCAATAAAATCGGCACGGAATGGTACATCGTGCGGCACGGCATCACCCTTCGTGCTTTAACTCTCTTCCTCACCCAAACAACAATCATAAATAATAGGGCAAGGGAATAAATGAAATTGCAATAAAGATCCCGTCAAGGGAACAACAATTCAACAAATAAATCCCGGCAAGGGAACATCATCAATAACCTCAACATTCCAGCAAGGGAGATAAAGAATAAATCAACAATAGCCCGGCAAGGGCGACAACATAATGATCTCTTCTCTTTCTCACTTTTACTTCACAATTCACTTCACAACTCGAGCCAATGCTCTATAGGTTCAATTTTTCACTTACACTTTCACAATTCGTTATACAACTTGAGTCATGCTCCTTAATATTCATAGGTCACAATTCCTTCCACAAACTTTAAGCAACAAGTAGAAACCACCACTAAGGCATGAAAGATACAACAAAGTCATGATAATTACAATATAAGTCTCAACAATTAAGGCATGAAACATGCATGCTAGACACCAACATATAGATACTCGTCACCATGCCTATACGTTGTACTCAACAATTAACACATAGCAAATATGACTCAACTCCTAATCCCTCAAGCTAAGATTAGACCAAACACTTACTCCGATGCCATGAACACAATTCACGATTCAATTATAGCTTTACCCCTTGATTCCACCACCAATTCGCTCGTATCTAGTCACAAGTTACTTATTATATCAATAAACGCTAAATGAATCAATTTGAATGCATGAAAATGAATTTTCCAAAGTTTTACCCAAAAAGTCAAAAATTGTCCCCGGGCCCACATGGTCAAAACCCGATTACCTATTCCCCCACGAACTCAAATATATAATTTATTTTCAAATCGAGGTCCAAATCCCCAATTTCTGAAAAACTTAGGTTCTACCCAAAACACCTAATTTCCCTCATGACAATCATTGATTTTGAGTTGAAATCATGTTAAAGATGTTAAGGAGTGAAGAAAATGAGTTAGAAATCACTTACCTACGTTTTGGAGAAGAAAGGTTGTTTGAAAAATTGCCTCTTATATTTTTGGGGTTTTGAAAAATAAAAATAACTGAAAATCCCGTCTAAATATACTACTCTCAGATGCCTTGTGCGGATTGCACAAAATCAAATGCGGCCGCACAGCCTTTCCTGTGTACTACAGTGATATATTTTAGTATTTTGGCCATAAATTTCTCTACAGATGTCCAAATTATGATTTATTTACCTTTCTGGATACTAGACACAAAGAGCTACAACTTTCGTTTTTGAATCATCTTAAAATTCCTTGTATATCAAAAGATATAGGCTTCCGAAGTCGGACCAGTGAACCTGTACGAACTGCACAAAATCAACTGCGGCCGCACAGTCACCAATGCGGACAGCACAAAAACCAGTGCGGACCGCACTAGCAGGTTCAGAGATTTGCACTTCTCTGAACCTCCAATAGTCATGTTTTAAGCCTAAGACACCCCGGAATCTACCCGAAACTCACCCGAGCCCTCGGGACTCCAAACCAAATGTGCATACTAACTCAAAAACATCATATGGACCTACTCGTGCGATCACATCATCAAAATAACATGTAAAATCATGAATTAAATCTCAAAACTCAACCTTTTCATCAAGAACTCTCAAAGTTCATAACTCTTCAATCGGAAGTCCAACTCACGTCAAATAAACTCCGTTTTTTCACCAAATTTCACAGTTATTTTTCAAATACTATAACAAGTTTGTACTGGGCTCCGGAACCAAAATACGGGCCCGATAACAATGGTTTCAAACATTAATTCTTTTCTTCATTTCTTAGATACTTCAGTAAAATAATTTCTTTCAAAAATTGATTTCTAAAGCTTGGGACCTCGGAATTCAATTCCGGGCATACGCCTAAGTCCCATATTTTACTGCGGACTTCCCAAGATCATCGGAATACGGATTCGGGTCTGTTTGCTCAAAATGTTGACCAAAGTCAACCATAATCAAATTTTTTTAACTCTAAAGATTTCTATTTCTCATATTTTTACATAGAATGCTT